TAGTTAAGTAAGTTATTAGTTAGTTGTTGTTGTATATATACTATATATATATATATATATATATATATATATATATATATATATTAACCATATAACTATAAATATATAACATACATAACATAATATATAATATAATATAATATATTTTATATATTTTATTAATATATATTGTATCATAGATAACATATAATATAATATTTCTTATAATATAATATAAGATATTTATATATGATATATAATATAAGATATTTATATATCATATATAATATAAAGTATAATATAAGATATTTGTATATTAGGTATATAATATTTATATTATTATTTATTTTATATATCATATTCATATATAATATATAACATATAATATATAATATATATAATATAGTATAAATATATAGTAATATTATGTATTACATATAATATATAATCAATATATACTACATAATATAAATTATATTAATAAAATAAATATAAATATATATTATATTATATTACATTTTATAAGATTATATTCTATATTTTTTATATTATATTATATTATATCATATTAATAATAATAGTGAATAGCGATCAACAAAAAAAAGTTCTAAAAGATAAAGTTCCTACCTTCCTCTAAAAACTTAATCTTTCACTTTTTTACAAAAAAAAAAAAATGGAAATTTTTATTGAAAGACTACTTTTTGAACTTCTCATAAAAAAAGTGAAACAAACGCATAACTTTTTCAAAATATAAAAAAATACTTTATAAAATAATAATTTCAAACAAACAAACGCTCCTAAAAGTTGGGTTTGCTTTCTTCCATAACTTGGGCGTATACCACATGTTTTCCCAATGACAAAAAATGAAATGAGTTATGTATTCTGCATTTATCACTAAACACATTTAAGAACGAATGTCCTTTGCATCCAAGTGGAAATGTTAGTCCAATCCTTTAGCATCTGCCTCCCACCGTTCAGAGCGTACACACTGCTCGTGACTCGATTGTCCCAGGTTAAGTTGATTCTGAAGGACACTACTGGTGCAAAACTGAATCAGGTTGAATCACTTTCGCGAGCTCTGTGATCTAACTCAGAACTTGCTGATCAAACCGGAACGGGGCACTGGCCGGTGTCGGCCAGTTTTAGTGGTCCGGCTCGGTATTTTAAAAAAAATTCAAAAAATATATAAAATTCCAAAAAAAAAAGGATTATTTGTATTATATTTATGAATGTTTTATATCATTTTGGCAAAATTTGAAAAGCGTTTTGTGCATCAAGAATTATTTTTACATTTTTCTATCCGTTTTAGAAATTTCGAAAAACCCCTACATGAAAATGATATTTTAAAAAAAAAAATTCGCATACTTTTCAATTTCATTTGGATGTGCTATATATGATCATGTTTTAAATATGCTTTTCAAATTTTTTAAATTTTTATTTTATTTTCTTATTTTTCGAGACTTTTTGAACCGGCAGGGACTTACACAATTAGACCAATTGAACCAGCCGATTTACGTTACTCGGACCCAGCCCTTGGCCACTTTTCAACGCTGGTTCGATTTTTCTAAAACCAGCAAGCTGGCTCGGACAGAAGGACGTGGTGAATTGTCCGAGAGTAAGACCCCTGGTTTTGCATTGTGAATTGTAACTTACACGATACTCATTGGAAAACGCAGCAGACTTACCGGGAGAAGTATCTATAGGATCTCACTTTGCAGATTAGGATCCCAATACACAGAAGAGAGACCAAATATGATCTTAGAACCAAAGAATGAAATTGAGCCCAAGAGAGAGAGAGACCTCAAGGAAGCAATCTTAGAGAGAGGGAGAGAAAGCATCTGGAATTTTTAAGGTCGGTGGAGGTATTGGATTCCACTGGGGGAGGCAACAGGTCGAGTCCGGTGGGACCCGGACTCAAACCCGAACCGTGGGTCCAAAATTTGGACCCATATTCGAACACGAGGACGGATTTACCCATCGGGTCCCGGATCTCGATAGGTACGTTGCTATCCTATGACTGTGAGGTTCCCTTCATTTTTATTTTTTTTTTTTTTTTTTCTTGTCCAATTATTTACCATTATATACCCATATTCCCCATATAGGTGTATTATTGGCATCAGTATTACACAACAATAATGAAGACCTGTATATACCCACATTCATTCTTGTTTGAAATTCCTAATAAACAAACATATTGGCAACATTTACAAACATCCACATATATGTCAGGTCCGGGTCGGGTCTGGCCGGACTTGTACCTGGACCCGAAGTCGGATCTAACCGTTAGTTTCCAGGTCTCGTCGGGTCTAATGCCACCCCTAGATCCCACGAATATACATAGAAAGGACCGTATTAAAACAAATAGAAAAAAAAAAAAAAAAGGCACTTAGAGAGAGACCATGGCTATCCTAGATTCCACGCACACACAGAGGAGTGATCCGCTCAAGGATCTGCGCAGTGAGAGAGGGAGAGAGATGCAATAGAGAGAGGTCATGATATCAAAAGACTTTAGAGAAGGGAAGAGAGAGACACACAGAAAGAGGGGTTACATGATCATGGATTTAAGGATATATATATAGATTGGAGGAGATGATTTATATGATCGTTGAGTTTTGTACAGCAAGTTGCAAATTTTGCCCCAAATTTGTCTAAAATTTATATTGGATTATGCAATAAATACGGTTTGAGTCGAACAGAAGCCCAATTTTTCCTAGTACCAAACACACGACGCGTGTTTTCACTGCTTCCCTGAATTTCCGAATAAATTAATTCTCAAGAGCGGTAAAAACGCAAACAGCTCCCATTTTTAACCGAACCATAGGATAAAAATTTACACAAAACCCAAACCAAAGGAAATTTTGTATTTTAAAAAGGAACTTAATAATTTACCCAAAAAAAAAAGAGAAATTTAATATTCACCTTAGAGTGAGAAACCAACTTTCCATCTTTTAGTGCCAGAGTAAATATGTATGCTAGAGAGAGAAAGTAAATATACCATCTTAGACAGAGCAACTGAATATGCATGTAAGAGAGAGAGAGAGAGTAATTATGGCAACTAGGCCATTAGAGAGAGAGAGAGTTTGAATGAAGACACCATCATAGAGAGAGTAAATGTGCCATGACAGATGCATAAAACGGTAGAGAGAGAGGGGGATGGAGCACTCACTCCTGGCTAGAGTACTCAGAGAGGCGACCAGTTGATGAGAAGACGATGAGGGCGACATCGGCATCGCAGAGGAGCGATAGCTCAAAGGCCTTTTTCAGCAAACCATTGCGCCTCTTTGTGAAGGTCACCTGTCTGGTGTTGGGCTTTTCGATCCTCTTCAGTTCCACTTTGCCCCTCCCCATTTTTGCACTCAGAAAACCCAGATTCTTTCTCTATCTAAGATCTCCCTCCACATGAGAAGAGGTTAGAGAGAGAGGGAGGGGGGGGGGGGGTATTTTGTTGTAGAGTGAGAGTGGAATATTCACACGGTAAAGTGGTGGGCTATGATGAAGGAGAGCGGCGAGGCGAGCAGAGATGATTGGTGGGACGTGAGCTCCAGGTTTGGCCGGAAATCACGTCAGCTGAACGCTCTTACACCATTACAATGTTGTGTACTATTTTCTCTCTCTACTTTTCTCGTAGTCCCTCTCTCTCATGGCCACTGTGTTGTAACCACTAACACTTTCTCTCTCTTCAGTGGCCTGTGTGAGGACAGTTTTTCCCTATATATCTCCGTTTCAAGCTTTTCCCCATTTGTTGTCTATGTCGGATGTTCGTTAAGGAGTTAAATATTTTGTGCTGCTTGGATAAAACCACAAGGCGCCCGCACTTCCTTTTTTTTATATCTCGGATTTACCGCCTACATTTCCGCAAAAGACTTCTTTTGCCCGCGTCATTTTCAAGCGCTCGTAGATATTTTTAATCATGACCTTTTCTCGAATTTTAAATTTTATAATCGGGGGATAGATTTTATATCGCTTTGCAGCACCAAATCTGCATTTTGAGCCGTACCTTATTTCAATAGTATTGGGTTAATGCCTTAAACAAAATCCCTTGTTTTTTCATTGCTTATGAATTTCAAGGTCAGAGATGATCGTTTTTTAACATTCGAATAACCTTCACCAATCGGTCTTTCAGGTGCACCTTATTTATAAGGCAATAATTTCATCTAACCGTTGCATTGGATCATTGCTTTTATTTATATAATATTATTTATATAAAATAAGGTTGAGACATTACATAAAACTTTTTACTTTACTTACTACCTTAGGTGCAGTACAACATTAGGTCTCAAGTTCTGGGGGATCTCTACAACCCATAACACTATGTGCTAGAAAAAATAATGACTCAAAGATTGAATAGAGATCATATAATTCTGAAGTCCTAGATCAAAGTGTCACGAAACTTAAAATTCCAACTTTTTTTTTTAAATAATTATCTATTAGTTCATGAAGTTCCCAAAATTTTAGTCTAAAATTCTAAAAGAAAAATAGTCGCTCTCTGTTCAGCAGCATGTTTTTATACTGTATCTATTATTTTAGGAAATCGAATGGGATTACGTGGATGCTCATTAATTTATATTGGGGCCCAAACAATAATGATCAAATTACATTAACTTCTATTTCTCTGCTTGTGAAATAAATGGCTCAAAACACTCGTACAATGGCCAATGTCCGAACATATAAATATAAAGAATCATACCCACGTCAAATAGAAAGGGACTCGGTTTGCCAAGCCAGCATATGTAAAAATGTGGACTTATTAATAAATCTATTTTTGAGATGAATTTTAAGATTTAATTTTTAAAGACATGTAATATCTAACATGAAGATCATGAACACAAAAAAATTAAAAAAAAATTAAAACTAAAAATAATAAATCTAGCAAAAAAACATTTGTACAGCTAGGTTCCTTTATTTTTAGATGGAACACTTGCTTGCAACCATCTTTAAGATGGTTGCTTGACCCTTTCTGGACCGCATATGTAAAAATGTGGTCGAGCCAGCATGAAACAATTTTCTAAAAAAAAAAACCTCGAAGGTCTAAGAATTACCTATTTATATTGGGTTCAGCGGCTCACATGCTAATTCACTCCTTGAGTTTAGAATTGATCCTAGTCGATCTAATTTGTATTATTCGTCATGTATATTAGGTTTGATGGATTGAATCATGAAGGAAAAAGTTTATATGAATCTTAAAATATATAATTAAGGTATATCCAAAAATTCCATTGGACAAGGCTGTTTTGACATTAAAAAACCATGTGATTGGTCATCTAGATATCGAGATGTATGAATATTAAATACAAAAAAAAGAATTTCAAGTCTAAAAACTAATGCTTCTTACTATATATTATCTAGACCATCCATTTTCAAGACTTTTATGTGTTCATAGATCTACTTGATTTGGACTATTTTTCAAGACTAAATTTTATCATTTGATATGAAAATAGATTATCTGGCCAGCCTAAGAAGTTTTTATACCAAATTTATAAAATTTGGTGGTGCACCTAAATTTGATTGTTTAATATTGCAACTTTATACAAACCATACGCAATCATTACACTCAATCTATATATAGTTGAAGAAGATGGATATATGCAATAGTTCTATCATTTATATTTAATTTTTATAAATTTTCGGCTGGATCGTTGATGTGGTTCAGTGTGGAGCCGATCAAGCTGGCCGATCCAAGTATTGGGCCCCTGTGTAGATGTATGCTCCATATACAAGAAAGATGGCTTTCTTTAAAATAAATCGTTTCATTTTAATTTGAATTTGTTTAAGATAACTCCTTCCATACAATTGGGAGGGAAGAACGGACAGGTGCTCCAAACTAGTTAAAAAATTAAAATTGAAAATAATAAGAACAATGGTTTCTTGCGGGCTTGGCCTCATTTCTACAATATGCAATATGGAAATATAAAGCATCCATCATGGATGCAAATAGGGGGTCCATCTAAAAAAAAATTGTGACTAACTGTCCAAATGTTTTTCTAATGTAATTATTATTTCTAGTTTAAAAAAAAATCATATTCATGATCTCCATGATAAAGGTTATATATTCTTTAAAAATTAGAATCAACTTATATTTCAAAAATATATTTATTGTCAAGCCCGTATTTCTACAATATGGAGGACTAATCACGACCAATTGTCTGAATCAGTGGTTTAAAAAATGGATCGGGCACCCCAAAAACCCATCCGGATTGGTGGATCGGCGATCCGGATCGGGAATCGGCCGAATCGGTCAGATTAAACTGTAAAAAAAATATAAAAAAATTATTAAAATTTATTATAAATATTTTTTTTTAGGAATCCAATAAGAAATAGGGGTACTATATTATTAATTTTCATTTTTTTCATCAATATGTGAATATTGAGATATTTTTTCTCTGTATGAACTTATTTTAACCATTAAATTACACAAAATAAAACTCATAGAACTATCATGGATGAAGTATATAATCATACATGGACTACAATAAAGAATGATTTTTTTATAATAACATTTTAGTTTTTTTGAAAAATACCTTTTTATTTTTTTATAAGAAATATTTCTCGTATTACACTTTTTTTTGTTTTTAACAAGAACCTTTTTTTTAACAAAAAAATACTTGTTTTATTAAAATTTTTTTTATAAGAATTTGTTTTTTGACAATAACTTCTTATTACTTTTTATTTTTTTGACAAAAACCTTTTATTTTTTTGACAAAAAAAAAAATTTGACAAGAAAAATAATTGATAAGAACCTTTCATTTTTTTTTATAAGAAACTTTGTATTTTATTGATAAGAAAATTTTTTGACAAAAAGCGAAATCGATAAAAAAAAAACTTTCATTTTTTTTATAAGAAATTTTTTTGACAAAGAGCGAAATTGATAAAAATTGATAAAAAAAACCTTTCAATTTTCTCTTATGAAAAAAATACTTGTTGTATTATTATTTTGTTATAAGAACTTTTTTTTTTTTGACAATAACTTTTTAGTACTTTTTTTTTTTGACAAAAACTTTTTATTTTTTTTGAAAAAAAAAAAGAAATTTGACAAGAAAAATAATTGATAAGAACCTTTCATTTTTTTTTTATAAGAAAATTTTTATTTTATTGATAAGAAAAAACTTTGACAAAATGCGAAATTGATAAAAAAAACCTTTCATTTTTTTTTATAATAAAAAAATTTGAAAAAAAGCAAAATTGATAAAAAAAACCTTTCATTTTTTTTCTAAGAAAAAAATTTGACCTCAGAAAAATAAAATTGACAAGAAAAATATTCATAAGAAAAAAATTTGACCTCAAGAAAAAATAAAATTAACAAGAAAAATAGTTGATAAAAGAACCCGCTTTCGTTCCAAGGCGAATGGAACCCATAAAGAAAGTTATAATGCTACTTGGTAGTATTAAAAGCGCAAACAAAATATATAATATATTAATGTTTCAAGTTAATATCTTCACATTATCCCACATCGAAGAGGTAGAAAGAAGTTGTAGTGAATAAATACCTTTTTGCAGTTAACAATAATAACGTGTACGAAGTGAGAAGAGTCACGTGACGAGGTGTATGGACCTTAAGGTACATGTAGTTTTTAAAATTTACAAAAACATCAATTGAAAAAAATTCACAAAAATACCTATTGAAGAATCGGAAGAAAATTTACAAAAATGCCCATTGAAAAAAATTTACAAAAATACCTGTTGAAAAATTGAAAGAAAATTTATAAAAATGCCCATTGAAGAATCGACGGGTCATGACGTCATGAATTGCAGAATCATGACATCACATGGCGATTTACGGCATGGGATCGCCAGTTCTTCTCTAGAACAGGGCGATTTCCGGTATTTCTCTGGAACTGGATCGGATCTGCTGGTTCCAGATTGGATCGAGCAATTTCCAGTATTTTATTGGAACCGGATCGGGTCTACCGGTTCCCGAGTCGTATCCGTAAATCGTCGATTCTTCTCTAGAACCAAACGATTTTCGGTATTTCATTGGAACTGGATCGGATATGTCGATTCCCAATTGAACTAAACGTTTTCGGTATTTCACTGGAGTCAGATCGGATCTACCGATTTTCGAATCGTATCGGATAAGTCCGGTTCGACTCGTTTGTGAACCACTTGTCTTAATACTAAGGCAAAGAGGGGAAGGGAACAGGGAGAGCCCCATAGCTACACAATGCTCTCAATCATTTTCAAATACGTACCAAGCACCAAGGAAAGTCAAAGAAAATGATCCCGCCCTTCCATTCGGACGATCGAATGGCCACATTGTCTCATGACACATTCATTCAACAACACTAAGATGCCCCTAGACTACATGTTATTGTTGGATTAGAATTTTTTTTTTCCCATTTCTCGGTCTTTTATCTTCATTATAAATATTTTTTTTGTTTAAAAAAAAGAGTAGAAAGTCTTTTGGCATTTATTATTATAAAGGTGCGGTTCCGATAGCGTTGTAACTTTAACCAATCCAATTAAAGTATAATTTTAAATTTTATGAAAGGAGGTTCAAAATTGATTGTTTAGAACTTTGGCACTATATAAACTTGGGCATACATTTAAACTCGACGTCGTACACCACGATAAATATGATGGCACGTTGTGATTTGATGTTCGGAAAGAGAGGTATGTGTGATTTGCTGAGCTACCAGACGCTTCGTTTCCATGTCTTTATATTCATGTCCAATAACAAATCGAAACGTAGCGCAACTTTATGATCACATCATCATGATGGAATCCAGTGTGAAAATCTGATGGCGACGTTCAAAAAAAAATCGGAAAATGAGAA